GTCCTTACCGCTAGCGCGATTTTAGCCGATTTAACAACATTGCGCCATTCGTTTCCTCTTCCTCTGTTTCCAGCGGCGTATACTTCAACGAAAACTTTCCAAGCTGGAGTATTCGCATCTATCCGGACCACATGACCTAGCCATCGTAGCCGCTGTTTCTTGATTCGCTGAACTATATAAATATCGCCGTATAACTCGTACAGCTATTCGTACCATCGCCTGCGGTATTCGCCGTTGCCAACGCGCAAAGGACCATAAATCTTACGCAAAATCTTTCTCTCAAAAACTCTTAACGCCGACTTATTAGATGTTGTCATCGTCCGTGCCTCCACACCATATAGCAGGACAGGAACGATGAGGGACTTGTAGAGTTTGATTTTCGTTCGTCAAGAGTGGAGTTTACTTTCCAAAGTAGCTTTAAAGACGCTGAGGTAGTCTAGTAGCAAAAAAAATTGAAATTGATTGAGCCTAGCTTTGATGAGTAAATTCCATAACCTACCCTTACAGCGAGTCGTGAGCTATCTGCGAAGGTAACTATGTCACTCGGCTTCAGAGCATTTGAAGTTTTCCATTCTTTTCTTTCCGGTATTCCCTAAGTTGAAATGTAGTGTGATACTTCTAAGGTTAAGCTGCGTTTAGTCTAAGTGCGTTGTACCTCGCTTGAAGTTTCCCTTACAGGTTTTGAAAAGTCTACGCTATATCTCCCTTAATGAGAATAGCTGCCGACCGCTGAACTATGTCCAGTTTGCACCTGAAGGTGGTTTCTTCGAGTCCTGATACAGTGATAGCATTTCTCGTCCTTTCCACCGTATGTACACTCCAATTGAAGTTACTATCGGAGAGTATGCCAAGATATTTTATTCCACCACTCTTAGTTTTAGTGGCTTAAAAGGAAAAAGTTTATATAGAGCTCAAGATTTTCTTCGAACATTTTCGAACTGCTCGAGCACTTTTGCAACGAGTACTCGCACACTCGAGCTCGCGCCTTTGGAACTTTTTCGAGTATTTTGGATAAAAATATGGCTTCTTCGATAATTTTCATTTTATTTATGCAAAGTTTAAAACTAATAGAAATGCTAAAGAAATTTTGACAAACAAAATTGAAATTTGAAAAATTCAAACTATCGAGCTGCCCACATTGCCCACGATACCCGGGTATTAAGGGCTTTTGCTCTCTTTGTAAAAAGAATCATTTCGGTTTTCGCTGCCTGCCCACTTACCTTGTTTCATCTTCCTACTAAATATATGTAATTCCTTGTCGCTCTTAGGGCAATATGGTCAGTGTTACAAACTTTTGATAAAATAATACTCCCACCGGAGGTGTATGTCCATGGTGCTTCTGTTCTTACCTGTGGAAGAATGTTGTTAAAACCCTTTTCCGTGTGTAAGAAAAGGCCAAGCCATACTTTACTGGATACATCCAGCTATATCGTTACCCGCTGTGTAGGCCGGCTTACCTGTAGAGTAAGCCTTGCAAACGTGATCTTAATGAATAAGATTATGTATCTTGGAAAATATTTAAGCGCTATGATCCATTTTTGGAAGTAATAGCTAGAATGGTGCCACAAAATTTTTGGCCCACAACAAATGTGTCAATACCCACGAGTATAAGCTGAAGTTATGTATACCTAAATCACATTACATCGATCAAGTCTACAAGTCTCTTAGAGGTTTATGAGTGACTTTGGTTAGCGGAAATGTAATTCTTCGGTCGAATATACCGATGTTCGCTGTGCATATGCTTGGCTGAAATCAACAACTAAGCCTACATATGTATGAAAAAATCTTAGTACCAAAAACCTAACTAGAGTACTGAAAATAGTTTTATTTTTCTAGCTACACTTTCAGCACACAATGGCACCATGAAACCTCCGTGACGAAATGGCGGTCCAACATTCCATTTTTTTAATAAATTCTCTAACAAGAGAGTACATAAATAGGTATGTACGTATGTACTATTTAGTTACTTATAAATGTATGCTTAAATATTTTTGTGAGAATTTTCATGCAGACATCATTACTCCTCCTACCTCCAGTGCCATACGCTTTGACCTAGAACTGAGCATTTAAACATCGCGTTGCATCTATGCTGAACAAAAGGATTATTGTTCCACGTTGTTGCCAACAGATTAGACGTTGCTACCTACACACTACAGTCATTATATGAATTTATTATATGTAGTATACTCGTATGTATGTAATACCGACGCCAAAGTGGCGAAGACACGATACTCTTATTTACCTTTTTGTTAAGCAGCGAATAGAGTTCAACGTACGATGCAGCAAATATTTGTTGTACGCAGTTCGTTACTCACGTAGTTACATTTGTATATATATATTTAAATAATAGCATCTGCATTCTTACTATTACCTAGCGACATGTGCAAAGGAAGGCACTTTTACATAGGTGACAACTACTTACATATGTACAAACATATCTACATATCCAATTGTAAGGGTACAGAAACAACATTAGCATAATCCTCTTCAACTGTTGTAAGGTGAGTGAGACTACGTCTTTTACAGAGAAGGATCTCCTATATTTTCTCTTGTTTTCCAGTTTGTTTTAAAATTACTGAATACCTATATATGTATGTTTTCAAGGTCAAAGTTTAACAAATAGCTAGCATACACGATATGTGACAGATTCATTTGGAAATATAAAAATCTTCATGCAAATACAAAGTGTCTTATAGCAAAACGGTTACAATTGGCCAGAATAATTGTGAAGAGTGTGAAACGAGGCAAATCGTATATCAGCAGCACTCGAATATTTAGCAGCTACATATGTTATGCTACCATGCGTAAGGTCAAAGATCCTGAGTTGATTTTCGTCACGTTCGCTTCTCTGCCTGTGTCACGGGAAGCTGTCGACGCGGAACTCTGCTCAGCTTGCTCCTGAAGGTGGCCACCAAAAGGTTTAACGTCTCGTTTTTGAGATACTGAACTTGTTATGTAAATGTATCTTTATACTATACTGATCATTTGTCAAAATCATCGATCGACTTTCGCAAGAAAAATTTTTTCAACGACGAAGCTCACTTTTTATTTAACGGGTATGTTAACAAACACATTTGAAGTGATGATAATCCAAAAGCCATTGATGAGACGCCGTGACTTCCTCAAAAAGTCACTGTTTGGTGTGATAATTGGGTCCATATTCCTTCATACTGAATGCATCCGGTAATGTTAGAGAGAATAGGGAAGCGATAGAGCCATTATTAATGATTTTTTCGGGCTTTCGATTAACATTAGCTCCAACATAACGGTGTTATACGCCATACAGTCAATAAAACAATCAAATTGTTGAAAGAAACTTTTAGTCAAAGATTTATCTCGCAAAGTGGACCTGTGGCGTGGCCGCTGAACTGTTTTTTGTGTAGTTATGTGGAGTCGGTTGTCTACACAGATAAGCCGGACACTAATGCTGCCTTGGAAGAGAATATTCAGGGAGTTCTTGGTAACGTCCTAAAGCTGGAAAAAGTAATGGAAAATTTAGGACCTCGGCTCAAAATTATTCCAGACAGCAGCGGCGGTAAATTGCCCGAAATCATTTTTTAATATAAACCCTAATTTTTGTAATAAAGCTAAATTCTTTAAAACCATATGTCTAAAAAAAAACCCTCCAACTTTATCTCACTCTTCGATTTCACTAGCTCTTTCCACCTTGGACTAGAAGTGATCGGTTGGCATTAGTACAAATGGTAAAATATCTTCAACAGAGCAAATACAATTAGCTTCTGAGTCGCCGAAATGGTTCGCCGACTACGAGATGTGACAATTAAGTAATGAGACTGATTCCATAAAAACTTTATATTTCAAATTTATTCTATCTGCCATTCCCTTCAAAGTAGTCTCCTTGGACAGCTATACAACGATTCCAGCATGTTTTCCATGCTTCGTAACATTTCTGGAACGCTTTGACAGGGACGTCCGCGAGTACTCTCGTCACGGCGGCCTGGCTGTCCCCAGTCGACTCAAAATGGGTTCCTTTGACCACCGGTTTCATTCTAGGGAACAACTTTTCGGGCGAATAAGGCGAATATTGCAGCATGGCGATTCCTTTCCTTTTCGCAATCTTTTGAGTACTTGGGGATAGTAGACTTGACTTACGGTTTGCACTGTTAGAAGAAATTCTTTGTTGACGATTCCACGACTATCAAAACAGTAATAATCATTGTTTTCACCTTCGACTTTCTCATGCGAGCTTTTTTCGGGAGGGGGCCTGCGGAGACAATCATTGTGAGCTTTGGCTTTTGGTACGTTTCCGAATCTGTTTCGCCCAATTTGGCGAAAAATTTTATCGCGACGCGTTGCTCTTGATTTCGTTTTTCCATTTTCTTGACGAGCACCACGCACACACGTTTACTCAACATAGCACAGCAGGCGAACTAAACAAGCTGGAGCGATGGCGTGAAGGGAATTTCAAGGTCGCAGGGTTACCAAAAGCGCGGCAGTATAATCAGTCTCTTTACTTAATTATCACACCTCGTATTCTGAGATATAAAAAGAGGCAGAATCCAAGCAGCTCGCAAGACCCCCGTGGGCAGTTGGATACTAAATTAATAAGTCATCGAATCCCCTCGGCTGACAATCTTAAAGAGCTTTAAAATCAAAACGATCAGTAGCCGATAGAACATCAAAATTCTGGCAGTCTGCATGAGAATGGACAAAATACAAAAGCCAAACCACCGAAAGTGCACTACACTGACTATTCTTTGTATAGTCAGAATAGTGTGAACAAATAGTACACATTACACGTCCCCATAAGTGAGTATGTTTACACATACACCACATATTCACACACAAGCTGTGCCCAGCATCTCTGACCCTCTTGCAATGAGCAGAAGACTTCTACAGAAGTTTTAAAATAACTTTCGGCGCTTTGTACTATCTACACAAGCCAGTTAGAGTTACACGCTCTGCACAAATGAAAGCCAAGAAAGCCTTTTTAGACTCCAATAACCTTCTACTATTCAGTCTTCAATTGGCCAGCAAGCACGGACGACGCATCAGTGGGCATCTGAAACGATAGAAAAAAGTGTTTACTCATAAAGAATTTCACAAACGAAATGAAAAGTTTAGAACTGGTTCAGTGGCGAGTGGCTGGTGGGCTTTACCTGGCCTTATTGCTATTTCTATTAAAAGCGAAGGCAGCCAATGGACAACCGGTTGATGATGAGTTGTCTGCGAACAATGCAGACGCCAAAGTTAGTTATGACCAAAGGCAGAATGGTAAATACAATATACGTATCAATATAAAAGATGTTGCGATCATCGAAATGGACGGCAATGGCTTTGGTGATGTGAGTATTTTTTCAGGCTCTTTTTATTGCTGAAATAACTATTATTACTTGTTATATATTTTTACGCAGGAAAACTTTAGTGATGATGATTACTATTATGATGAAGAGGATTTGACGGTCAAGCCCTTGAAGCTCACAACACCTTCGAAAGTAACATCGACAAATGTTGAGACTTCAACAGCGAATTCGCCACCAACAGCTTCAACTAGTACAACCCAAGCAACATCTACGCCAATGAGATTAGAGGAACTCATACATACAAGCTCAATACTGCCAGCAACATCCGCCGATCAATCAAGCTCTAATCAATTATCGAACATTGGACCTTGGCAAGCAATAGCACGCGAGACCACGGTAGAGAGTACTGCAGCGTCTGCGACGTCAGAACCACGCTTTAATTACTCACCGGCATCTAGATTAATATCAGCGTTGGAAATGAAACTGCGACCTAAAATATCGTGGGATTCCAGAAAGACAGCATTTACACCAACGTCTTACTATCCTAAACATTCATCCGTGGAAGAAAATTGGCCAAGACTCTCCACGCCTTCAGAGGCGCTCAACAAAGAAGCATTGCTCACAAGCTCTCCACATTATAATGAATATAAAGTGAGTCCATTTGGCATACCGCAAATTAAGAAACCTCGAGGACGATTTCCCCATTGTCGCACCAATCAGTACCGCGATGTTAACGGAAGTTGTCGCAACAAACGTTCGGCATCATTTCTGTAAGTACGGTTGCGAATATAATGCATGTTAGGTTACCCCGGTTTCTTTACGTATATAAATAGTGAAAGAGTTGTAGGGTGTGTTGTTTGAAGCAAAAGAGTTTTCGTACAGAATCGCGACGCACGCCCTTTAGAGCTCACTCTGTTAGAGTCCCGGTCATTAGCACAATTTTCCGTTTTAGAAACCTGCTTTTTCTAAACCGAATTCCGACGAGTAGTGGTCTTTGCCTTCTTGCTTATTCGAGGTTATACTTCATCGGAATAGGCAGTAGGGTTTTCGTTCGTCTGACTACATTATCATCTAATCGAGAACCAGGGCCACACCGTTCCCTTAACGCCGCGAGGCAAGCACAGAGTTTAATTTGTAGGTTTAAGAGAGCACGCAAAGAGGAGTATAGTAAGGCGGTAACTCATTGCATGTGGCGCTTGACTTAAGAGACTCAGCGTCGTGGCTTCTCCGGTACCCTAGTTTTGTGTTTTTAATGATGCAACTTGAAGAAAGTACAAGGAAGGGTATATCGACTATCTGTGATCTGCACTCAGAGCCATAAGCCGTTGGTGGACAGACTTCAAGGTGCATGATATCGTTATCCTTAAGGTGGTATTTGACAGGCCTACAATCTGCTGCTGTCAAGCATATTTAGTGGCAAGACAAGCTAGTCGATCGATATCAAGTAAGGGGTAGCTCAGGAAATGAGCTTTTCGATGAGGACAGTGATGTAAGATGAGTCAATTTTTTTGGCTCTCAAAGAGTTTGTTAGTTACATGTGGGACATATGTATTGGGTGAGTAAAGTATGATACGAGTTTTATCTGCTGTAATATCCAGAGTTTAGCGTGACAGTTCAAGTTCTTAGATCGCTATAGATCGGACGTGGATAGGGACTACGCTATTCACTTGAAGAAATTTGAAGAATGTGTTGACTCACTCACAGAGAACAGCGCTTAGGGCTTATATACAAATTGTCGTTTTTGCTAATCTCTGTCATATCCAGATCTTAATTGTGTCGCTAGTACGCGGCTCTCGCAAGGCAGCTCCAGCTCTTCCTGTGGAATGCATGCTAGTTAGGTTCCGAACACGTCATTTATGGGAGAAGAGCTTTTGAAAGTGTTGTATGGCTCACTATTAGTTGGGCAAAAATATATGTGAATAGGCAATATGTATAGATCCATTCAGCGTCGTCTCTTCAGATGAGAAATAGGCGTTATAAGAAAGAGTTTACAGACTTATTTAGATTAGCAGTTCGAGAATTTACCAGCGGTTAAACTTGCCTGCCGTAAGAAGCGACTAAAATACAATACTTTCCACGATCATCAGATCTTTATACCGGATTTTTATAATGTCGAGGACCGTTACTCATGCAACATTACACAAAAATCACTTTTAGGAATATTTTTGCGATTACAACTAGCACAACGGCCGCGGTATCCGAGTGTTTAGCATTGTGTACTGCCATTCGGAAGGCTCGTGTGACCCCGTGCGACCAACATCCAAAAGTTATAGAAAATAATTTAAATAAAAAATCATATCAAAATTTCCAATTTCGGTCACCCCTCGGCAGAGAATGTCCACTCCACCGAGTGCATTTCTGACATGAAATAAAGCTCCTCCTAGAAAAACCATCAGCCCTTCGGAGGCGGCTTAGTATGAACTGTATATCCCTCCATTTGTTGGAAAAGAATCAAGACGCAAAACCACAAATTGGAGAAGCTCTGAGTGACCGTTCAGTAGTTACAAAGCTCCATTTATATATAAACTGCAAACCGGATTAAAAAAAAATAGAATATATAGTTTTGAAAAAAATAATATCATTCTGATTTTACATACTACTATTACTAGTATATATACATATGTATTTATATGATATTATACTAAATTTTCAGAAAAAAATTATTCAACATCATTGCAACCATACCGTTCGCATTCGTCAAAGAATCTACAAATGAGTAAGCAGAAAATGAAATAAAGCACACGGTGTCGCTCACTACACGCGCATCTAAAGCACACATTTGTATGAAAAAGAAAAACATTATATTGTATAATTATATACATATAAATATGTAAGAGAATTGCATTCCGCAAGTGAATGCTAATATAAAAAAAAAAAAAACATAAACAAAAACAGGTTTTTTTCTTTTAATTTCAATGTTTTATTTGACTTCATTTCAACATTTTGGTGCAGTTCAGTACACATCAAATAATTACTTATAAAATTATATTGCGAAATAATAAAAACGAGTACACATTTTGTTATGTATGTCTTGAGTGTATATTGTAAAGAAGGAAGTGGTTGGAAAACTCAGGTATTAGTTTCTTCAGCGTTTCTCTGTTTCTTGTTTGTTTGTTCGACTTAAAATTATAAATTAAATAAGTTTTTAATACTTTTACTAATTTAAACAGCTATTGTATAGTCATAAAAGAGTTTTTGATACGATAAATGTCTAATAAATTTGGATATGATTTGATCAGTAAGGTTTGCTGCGATACACTGACACTACGTGAGTTTTTTTTCTCGTAACTATTGTAGGCAAATTTCCTTATAACAAACAACAATTAATGTCTTTTATTTTAATTATTTTCTTAGGCATATGGCATTAAGGAATTAATATACGTTAGTATGTGTGTAAATATTAGGAAATTTAAAATTTAATTTGCAAGGTCAACAGTTGGTTATGTTTTGCGGCCATAATAATTTTAGGCTTTAACTACTTATTAAAAAAAAAAACATTAATTAAAGATTTATTTCATAAATAAATAATAAAAAAATATATAGTTACATACATACATTTTAAACAAAAATTAATTTAAACAAATTTCAATATTTAACGCCAATAAAAATTAAACATATATTAAACTTACGTAGAAAATTTAAATATAAAAAAACAAGTATGCTATTTAAGTGTTTGGTCATTAAAAAAATGTTTTTCCATATCAATGAAAAGAAAAAACTACAATACATGCAAAAAAAAAACTATTCACATATATAGGGGAATAACCCGAAAGCAATGATAAAATTATTTAATACTCATATTACATATGCAACTATATTATATATGTAGGAGTATGTGTACGTATAAAATACTACTAATGCACGCATTTAAATATGCTTATTACGTTTACCACCACAATATACCCACACGCGTTTTTCTACCTATCGCCTAATGATTCTTTTCATTCTCTATATTATATGTATGTATACTATTTTCTATAGTTCAGTGTTAATTTCAGGTGGCAATACGAGCTGTTGTGCGAAATTTCTTCTTTTTTTTTTTTTTGTTAACAATATCATCTAGTATCTGCTGAACATACTGGTTTGTTGGGTGTATGTGAGGTGTGTATGTATGTGTTTGTGGGTGTATATACATACATTTAATTAATTAACTATTTTTTTAAAACAACGAAAACATTCTCTTATACTTCAATATATCCAAATCTTTGGGTAACATGTTATAATAAAATGTTTAAGGCATTCCCGGTAAACCATTTATACCCTGACGTTGATGCACCATATTCATACGTGCACGATGTTGCTCCAACCGTTGAATTGTGGCGGCCAAATGTGCATTCTCTACGTACAAGTCTTTAACTAGTATATCGGCATTTTGTAAACGCTGCACTTGCTCCGCAATCATGGAGCCTTGATTTTCGATGCGATTATGCAAGTCGGCGAGTTCCATTTGATGTTGTTGCCAAGAGCCTGTTGAAATGTTACGATTTTAGAAATTTTACTACAATTAACTTAAAAGTGCGTTTGCATTATACTAACGTTGCATTAAGGATTCTGTCTGTTGTTGTTGTTGCTTGATGGCATTTTGTAAATGACGATTGCGCAATTCCAATTGATTCACACGTTGTATGACACTGGGATGTGGCGTACGCTGGATTTTAGGTTTAAATTAAGTTAAATTAAAATATGTTTTCATCAAGTTTAAGCTATAGATATTTGTATATCATTTCGTGCTTACCGCATAGGCTTTTTCCAGCACTGGACGTGCTTCTTGCAGCTGCTGTAGTTCCATAACTAAACCATCCCTTTGCAAAGACAAATTCTTCACTTGTTCACGCAAGGAAATTTCAAAGAATTTCAAACGTTTGAGCTCCTCTTTCATGCCAACACTAGATATGCTGTGTTCCGTACTTGGTGATGTTTTCGATTGTTGTTGTAGTTGTGATTGGCGTGCACTATGTGTGGATGCGGGACTGTGACTCTCGCTACTTTTGCCCGAGGCTGTGGAAGAGACTTCATCCGTTTCCGACTCCGATTGCTTGGAACTAGTGGGCTTTTGGATAGGCGCAATCGTGTCAACGGGTGTAGTACTAAAGATTGTAGTCTCAGATGTGGTGAGATTATTTCTACAAATGAAAATAATGGAAATTTCGTTACAAAAGTTTCCCAACCTTTATTTTGAAAATTTCAAATTTTTTTTTTTTAAATGAGATGAGGAGATGATGACTCTTAAATTTTTATTTTGAGAATTTTATATATATATTGTTATTTTAAAAATTTTTTTTGAAAAATTTAAAATTTTTCATTTTAAATACTCAAAACTTTTTTATTTTTTATTCTTAAATTGGTTTTTTGAAAAGTAGAAATTTGTTTTGAATTTTTATTTTATGAATGTTGAATTTTTAATTTTGATAATTCAACTTTTTTTATGACTTTTATTTTTTAACTCTGAAATTTTTATTTTAGACTTTTTATTTTATTTTTAATTTGTTAATTTTAAACTTTTTTATTGAAAATCTTATTATTTTATTTAGAAAATTTTAAGTTTTTATTTAAAATGTTTTTTTTTTTTAATTTTAAAATAATATTTTCAAATCTTCAAAATTGAACAGTTTAAAAGTAATTTAGGAATTAAAAAAAATATATATAAAACCAACTTTAAATTATCAAAATAAAAATTTAACGTTTTTAAATGAAAACTTAGAATTTTTTTATCAAATTTTTAAAAAATTATTTTTAAAAACTAAAAAATTTATTTTTCTTGTTTTGTTAATTTTAAATTATTTTTTTTTTAATTTTCTTTTGAATGAAAAAAAATCTTCTGAAAAATTTTTGTTTTAAATCTTTATCAAGTTCATTTAATTTTATTTTTTTAATTTAAAATTTTTATTTGAATTCATTTTTTAGAAATTTTTTATTTTTAAGCTGTAAAACTTTTATTTTGAAAATTCGAAAGAATTATTTTTCAAAATTAAGAAATTTATTTTAGAATTTTGAAATATTTTTTTTTGTTTGAGAATTTTTACTTTAAAAACTTTGAGTTCTAATTTTTAAAATGAATTTTTTTTAGTTATTTTTTTTAATTTTTAGTTTTTATTCTGAAAATTTTAAATATTTATTTTGTGAAATTTAATTTTTTATTTTTAAGTTTTTATTTGTTTATTTTTTTTTAATTAAAATTTTTTTGTTGAAATTTATTGGTAGTGACATTAAATACTGCGAAACCTTATGCCTAAGAGACTAAAGTATATATAAATAATATATTTTAAAAGAGAACTGCGTGAGACATGCAAGTCCAACACTTTATAGTTGGCACAATATGTACGTATATGAGTAATTCATAGTACGAATATATTCGCCTATAGGCGAACACGTAGACATTATAGTCCATTATATAGTCCACTGAGGGTTAAGGGTTCTAAAAATTACAAGATAACTTAACAGTCAACCAACAGTTACCAAAATAGAGAATAATTTTGCGGTTACAACAACAACAACAAAAAACATTGTGAACAGTCAGTTATCAGAATGAGTTCTGAGTAAGGGGCTTTGGAGAGTTTTTCTCTCCTTCCGAAAATCTTTTAACCAATTTCTTCCACAAAATATCCGCTGACCGATTTCAAAGTTTTACAATGGTGATGGCAATGTATGACATGTGTGCATAGCAGATATTGCATTTTTAGCTACTGAAACTGCAGAGTTTTAAGCCGAACACCTATATCTGAACAGTCAGTTGAACGGTAGCTACATTTTCGTAATATTTTTATTATGAAACTGATGAAAAGTTTGTCTATGAAGATTCGTTTTAAAGAACAACTCCATTTTTATGATTATACCTGTTCTGATTCATTGCTGAATGAAGATAGTGGAGAGTTTTCAGTTAAAAATGGACCTTCCAGGGAATATATTCTATAAATCTCTGCTACAATTTGTATACGTTTGTGTAGACAAATTTAAGTAGAAAAAGAAATATTAAGACTCTTTATATTTTTAACTCGTTTTCAAATAGTTTTCGGTACAGTCGACAATAAGAGTAATAAAAAGAATGTATCACTACAGCTAAACCTCAATATCAATATCATATTGAAGTGTGACCCACCCCAAGTTAATATCAGTGAAGTATAGAACAAAAAAATAATATTTTTATTTATTTATCTGATTAATAAGCCACAAGTCACAATGTCTCTCCAGAGTCAAATTTTTGATAAGCATTTTTTATTTTCCTCTTTTTTATTTAATTATTATCTTTTTTCATACGAATCATGTGTATATAATAGGCTTACAATTGCTTATATATCACGATAAATCGCCAATCCCATACAAAAAATATATTAACAAAATTATTTCGTTAAAACCAACCTATAAATAATATACTCGTGCATGTATTTTGATGGAAATAGTATGAGAAAACTTGCATAGCGCTAAACTGAAGTAGTTTACATGTATGTGTGTATGTACATTCTCAGTCAATTGTGTCACTTATTAGCATACACTAAAAAACCAAAAATGGTCTGTGCTCTATGTCACGTGCGTCACTAAAGGCGTAAATCTTTTTCTTTTTTATTGCTTTTCAAATCATCGAATCGATTCGTAACGGTTCAATATATTTTCAGGTTCCATGCGTATAAAATTGAATCTGTTTAAGAAAAAAATATTATGGAAGGAAAGGTATGAGTCAAAGTTTTATGTATGAAAAACCAAAGAGCACCAGGCACTTAACGCATATAATTTTTTTATAAAATTTTTAGATATGTACATAAATGTATGTATGCTTACCTTATATTTGGACGCGTAGGCGATTCCGGTGATGGTGGAAATATGGTATTATAATTTTTAGCTGGTTCTTGTATCGTGCTTTGGTGCCATAAATAACTAATTGGCGAACTAGCAGGACTTTGTTTATCTGGATTGATGTGTAATGCACTCACTGCCATTGCTTCGTTGTTGAGTTCGCATGCACCGGTAAGTATCTCCACGCTTTCGCCCAAACGCATACGTAAATCTTCGATTTCTCGTTGTAAATTTTCGATTTCGTTGCTTTTCTCGTCGAACATTTTTCTAGCTGTTTCGCGTAGCTCACTCGCTTCTGCTTCCAGATCAGCATACTGCTGTTCTAAGGCATCCTTCTCCTCAATCGGTGATAGTCTACCGTCTCGACTGAACTGTTCCTCATATTCACGTACTTTTTCCATTAACTCTGTGAATTTTTTATCACTTTCCAGTTGCTCTTCTTCATAAATTTGCCGTTCTTTTTCAAATAGTTGCCTTTCTTCAGCCAATTTACCTTGCCAATAATCTTCACAGTCTTCATAGGCACGTTGCATTTGTTCCAAGCTGGCTTCCAATTCTTTACAGCGTTCATCTGGTGATACCACGCGCTGATTAGAAGTTGAACTGGTTTTAGCTTGTACCTCCAGTTCTTTAATTTTCTGTTTAAGTGCAGAAATTTGCTCCAAATAATCGCTTACGCTATTCGTCGCATTATTTCGATGCGACTCTGACTCACGTAACTCTGAGTTAAGAGCCATCCACTCACCGCTAGTGTCACTCGTCTCACTATTTGCTGGATCTGTGCATTTACGCAATTTACCCAAACGTGGACTTTCTTCTGTGATATGTGTTTTGCTAGGTGAGTCACCGCGACGTTTAATAGCAGTTAAATTTGCTCCTTGCTCGGCATCATCTACAACAACACTGCCAGCATCTACTGGCGTAGATGCATTGGTGTTGCTTGTAGATGAATTTGATTTTTTGTTTTTCGATTTCATACGCAAAATTTCCAAATTTAAACTTTCTATTTCAGCAACTAACTCATCAGTCTTATCTCGTAAACTTTTATTATCCATTTGCAATTCGGAGACCTTCTCCACTAAACGTGCAACTTCTTCATCTTCTTCTAGTCTCTTGCTATTGCGGGTTTCACAAACTCCACTACTTGTATCCCTATCTAAATCAGCTAATTGCAGGTTAAGTTTCAAATTCTTTTCGAGTAATTCAGTGACTTGTTTTTGCAATTTGTGATGCTCATTTTCCAAATCACAATTTTCTCTTCGCACCAATTCCAACTCGGTTTTATTCTTGATCTCCTCCTGTTCAAGTTGCTTAATTCTTGCTTCAAGGCGTGTAGTGAAACTGCTCCAATTTTCCCGATCATTAGCCATTCTTGTTGACAATTCACGTACCAAAGTAGCATGCCTTTGTTCCAGTAGTCGTATCTGTTACATTAAAAAGAAAATATTATATTTAATTCTGGCTTCGAAGAATTTTTTTTAACATTTACCTCTTTTTTTGAGGAATCTTCTAGTGAGGCATGCCGCTCATCAATTTCAGCCGCCAAAAGCGCCAATCTATGATTAGCATCTTTATTACTGGCATTAAGCTTTTTGTTTTCATCATGTAATTGGCGCACTGTCTGACGTAACGATGTCATTTCGGACAACTGCAGTGCCATGTAGGCACGTACGATCGCCAACTGTGTATCATCTTCTAGACCACGCAATTCTTCTTCCAAAACTTTATTCAACTGGGTTACATTAATTTCATCATCATCAAAACCGAGTGCTAGCAAAATGCCTTTGCCATTCTCAATTTGAGCGCGATCAAATATATCTAGTATTCTATGAACAGGCATTATTTCAGGCTCCGTCAATGGCGGCGAATCTGCAGGAGTAGATTTGAATAAATATATTTTAATAAGAACTTTTAATACATTTTTTGTATGTATGTTACCTAAGGACTCAACACTACTATTCAGTGCTTGTTTTTGTTGAAGCTTATCCCAAAGCTGTGGTTTCTTTATATTCGAGTTCAATGTTTTGGAATTGAGTTTAAGTTGCATGCTTCGTTGTGTAGGCAAAGATGAACAACGCTTCAGTTTGCCACCACCATTAGTAGTCGGGGGACGACGCCGCCCTTTATTAGGAATGTCAGTTTGCGAAGAGGAACGCTGCACCTATAGAAATTTAGATTTGTTTACATAACATTGTTAACACTTAAGCACACTTCTCTTGTTCGGAGAAATACTTACGCAAGAGAGCCCATGATGTACATTAATATCGCATAATCTATGATCATGACTCTCACCATCATCTTCAGAATCAGTCAGTGATAAATTTTTAATATTGTGTGTGCTTGGTCGCGACCGTCTACCATATTTCTTTGAGCCCATTACAAGTTTCGGTGAGACTTCTCGATCAGATGTAGGATGGTCGCTATCCACAGATTTGCTTGATTCAATCGTGTCGGCAATGACTAGAGTTCGCTCTATAATAAAAAATGGTTTTTTAATTAATTATTAATAACTAAATATCAAGGAAATATTTTTAAATACAAAGAAAAAAAAATATACCAAAAATGGTTGCAAGGTCATTAACACTAGAATCATCAAATCGTTTCTGTCTCTTGTAAAAGAAATGGGTGCCCATTATAAAATTTATTTTCGCAAGTTCTATTTTCAACTTTCCACATACGATCACTTGTGCGTTTCATGAAATACTGGAAGTATGTGAGCATATTGAGCTCGCATTAAGCTAGGATGCCTTCTATCCTTAGGTAAATTTATCAATATTTTGTCTGCATCTACCTTCGCATGTATATATGTATATATTTTGTGAGGATTATTAACAGTTTCTATGTGAACGTATGTATGCATTTGTCGCGGATTTAGCGAATTCCACGAAGAGTGAAATGCAGACAATGCAGACAATGCAAAAAAGGACAGATACATTTGTTATTGTCCTTAAATCGGTGAAGGCAAAAAATATTGTTTTTAAATGATCATAACAAACAATGAAAAGCATGTCCAATGGATATGCCTACCCGTGCATGATTATACATATAAATAAGTATTTAGTATATACATATATGTATAAGTACTATGTTATGATCTGATAATATTAAGATATGTACGTGTAGGTACATTGTTTTTAAATAAAAAATGTTTGTGTAAGTACTTTAACTAAGTTGAATCTGTTCAGATACGCATATGCAAGAACATACATAGATATGATCATAATTATCTATTTGTTAATTTTTTAATGTATTGTCAGCTTTCACCATATATACATATGTATATGAACATACATATGTATGCATAAGAAACGATTTGCAGCGGTTTATTTAGTCGATAAAAATATTGCATTGCCTATGGAATGCACATTGTGTCTAATCTCAAGGTGACTTCTGCGGATAGTCTGTGATAATATTTGTCTTGGTGTTTTTGCATATCTTATGCACTTACCTTTCGCATCTGCTAAACAGTTACTACTCTTACAATTACTATTACTACTATTGACGATCGTTGGTGCTGAGATCACATCGCCACTGCGTGTGTGTGCGTCAGATTGTGAATGTTGTTCTTTTGTATCCAATTCGAGCTCTGCACCGAGAAATTTTAGTAGAGCTTCTTTGAAACAGTCAAAGGAGACACGACCATTGCCAGACAAATCGCCAATTAGGACGGTACCTTTGTCCTGAAGCTCCAGGAGGCCACACAAACGTCTCAACGATTCTTCGTCCAATAAACCACATTGTTCTTTATCACAACTTTGGAACATTTGATATAATTTTAATTCGTAAGGATCTGAAGAAAGCTCCATTGCATTACTTTTTTGTAGAAATTTTTAAAAAGTGGTAAAATATTTCCTACGTAAAAACTAAAACCGAAAACTAATAAAAAATCTTTTCACTTGTATTTTGCACTTATGGAAAAGTAGTATTGCCAATTGCGATAAATTCTTTTGATTAGTGTCAGTCGCAATCAAATGATGATTAAAAGAGTAATCGGTTAAATATAACCACTAAGAAGTTATGGAATTTTAACGTTCTTTTAATAGATCAGAAGGGCGATATTTTTAATTTTTTTCAAAATATCTCTTTAGATTTCCTATATCAATGCAAGGTGTTTGGAAAACCAATATTTTTAAGATAAAGTTTTTACTGATGATGTAGTAGTTTTCTTGGCAGGAGTATCATTTGCACAGTGAAGAATCTAAGCTGGGAGTTAAGGTATCTCATTGAAGATGAACCTCCACCCTGGCACATCAGAAAAGGAGTACTAGATATGAAGGACACAATGCAGGAGCACGTACAACAACCGGCAGACAGGATGGCGTACACACAAGCCCTGAACGCCATTCACCAGGAGTCAGTCAGCACTTGCAAAGACTCTCATCCTGTGAATGACGTATTCGGAGTAAAAGTACCACCTATTACTGAAAAAGAACTCGCCTCGAGAGGCCCGCGTGACACTAGAAAAACTCAGGATACCATAGCCGGCTAAACTTCTACTAATTAATTACATCTAAATTCCTTGTTATCTCTCTGCGGATTGAGAAATCGTCAATATAATTAGAACTCAGCTAAAAATGAACATTAAGATGCTTATATTTTATATCCAATCGTTACTACTTATGATTAATCTTAAATTTATTAAAATGCAGTCAAAGATGAAATAATTATTGCTGAAGTGCCAAAATCTTTCCCAGTGTAGTATACATTCTTTTATATGTTATATATATCTTGCGTACCCTGTGTTTTTTCAAATAGTTAAAATAAATATCAGAGTCATTGTGTGTCGGCCATTTTCAAGTGATGGTAAGTTCGCAGAGTCGCATTACAAGTACATCATTCAAATACTTTGATAGACATCATAAAATTTTATGATCATGAATGAAATGAACACCTATTTTAGGAACTTCTGTTACTTAAAAATTTTAAATAAAATTAATGTTTGGCTAATGTATTTATTATGTGGAATTGTCATTTCAACACTCTTTGGTGCCTTTCATAGTTTGTAGTTATGGTCGTTGCACAATCAAAATTTCAATGCAACCCTGGGGCAGACGTCAAGGTGAATTTTTACACCTTCAGCTGCCATAGTTTGCATTAAAGTTGATTCAGTCCTGGTTTTTAATACTTATTCCATAATAAAAACAAAGAAAAATAATTTTAATTCTGTGCAGTTTGTTTTAAACAATTTGTGAAGGCTTTAAAATATTGCCTCACTATTTTGGTGCTGCGGGCGATGATGAACTCCTGCCTGCCAGTGCTTGTACCTACAGATCCAATGCACGGCTTCCTGAGAGACAAACAAGCCTGGGAGAATGCAATCTCCATGTACCAGGGACCCGATCCACTTGATCACTGGTATAATTACATTTGCTGGTATGAAAATCATCTACGCGGTGATCCCGAAAATAAATTCCGTGAAACACTTGAGCGCTGCCTAGCCCTATTTGAGCACAGTGATTTTTATAAACAAGATATACGAATGGTGCGCCTTTGGTTGAAATACATTGAAATGCAAACACACCCATTGCATTTTTATCAAGTTTTATACCAGCGGGGTGTAGGTAGACAAGTTGCTGCATTCTATATAGGTTGGGCTGGTTACTATCAATCTATTCACGCTTTAAAGGAAGCTGAATCTGTGTATAGCCTGGCATTTCAGGAAAAAGCTCAATCGTATGAAGAACTGCATCATGCACATAACAAGTTCTTATATATGCAATCGGCTGCTCAAATGGCGCAGCATCATCAACAACAGCAGCAGCTCGCTCATCAACAATCTCACACGATTCATTATCAACAAGCTGGTCAGTGTCAAACGCAAGCAGTCTCCCATACAATTGCTCAGACACAGTTACAACAAGAGACTCATCCACATCACCATCAACAGTCCCAACAACCAGTACAATCTCAGCAACTGCAGGCACAATTGCATCATGCTCCACATCAAGCTCCAAATTATCACAGACAACAATCTTCCGCTGCCGCGACTGCATCGAATTCATATTATCAGCCACATGCGCATGCCAATGATGTTAGAGCACAAGGGGATCAGCTGTATGAACAGCAAACTTACCAAACCACAGCAGCAAGTTATCAAAATCCAACAGAGCAGCCTGCTACTGCTACTACACATCAGGTTAGTTTATTTTACCATTATTTTACCATACAAAAATTAAATTTAACCAAATCAATTACTTATTAGTTTAACGGCAGCACTGCAACAGTGTACCAAAGTAATATAGAATCCCATTCTCAAGCGCAACCCGGAAGAGTCCAAACGCAACATGCAAGTGAAGAATACGGGAAGGCGGCACGATCTACAACACAAATAGAAGAGAATCATGTTATAGTTGAACCTAAAAAGGAAGTGCAATTTGCTCCAGCATCAACGCCAGTAAGCGGTTGCAAGCTGCCGAGAAAATTTGCGTCTTATTGTCGCAACAATTACGAGACGTGGAAGCCAGCACTATTTCTAGAAGAGCCTGACGATCCAAATCGTCGTTGTCACTATGCAAAACAATCCGTGTACCCTGGAACAGGTTTAGAATATAGTCCTGAAGAACTAAGAGCTAAACGATATGTTGCACGTTTAGCGGAGGTGGCGCGCTTAAAACAGGAAGCTGACCAACTCCAAGAAGAAATAACTGTTAAAGTTGAAGACACACAAGAGATACAAGAAATCGGTGTGGTACAACAGCAACATATACATCAGTATAAAGAAACAAGTAGTGTAACGGTTGAACAAAATATTAGTAGAACACCAGTGCAAAACCATAGCCATAAGTATTGCCTAAGTACAAATGAGCACGCCGAGGCAAATGGTGTAGAGCAAATGGGACAAAATTATCCACAAACTGTTACCTATACACAAACGCACAGTCAGCATCAACAACATAACCAACAACTCTATCGTCATAGTCTTAATCATAATTATCAGCATGAGAAGCAACAACAAATGCTTCAGCAAGAAAAACAAACAAAAAGTGAATATGGAAATAATTTAGAGGATTTAGAAGATCAAATTGAGGCTTCCACCATTCGACTGGGCGAAAATAAAACAATAAAAATTAAATTTAAGAAGGAACGCCAGCAACACGGACATACGCTGAAAGGAAATAACTATGTCATCGAAGGCATTTACCAACAAGAGGTAAGATTTGTTATTTAATATTGGTATTTTAATATTTTGTATGTTAATAAGTGTGAATCTCATTAAATTTGTTTAAATTGAAATAGAACATGATAACTCAAAATTTTTTTGTGATTTACGCTCCTTTAGGTTTCGTCTGCTTCTCCATCGACGCCGGAATATGGAAAACCTAAAAATGGTCACAATTTTCATCCTTACAGTATGGATAATACGTCAACGCCGAAGTCCACTAATAAACGTTATAAATCAAAATTGAAAAGAATCAACAAACTTCCCATTAGTACGGGTAGTAGTAGCAATTCGTCTACTGCTGAAAATGGTGGCGCTACTAATGGCAACAACAGTGCAGTTGGAATTGAGCATATGCAACCTGTTGCTACTGGCGATGATGTTGTGAATAATGCTACCTTCAATGATAATGCAAATTATTCATTTTCAAGCGCAGTTGCTTTGGATAACTCCCATTGTTCCTTGACTTCCGCTGTTGGACGGCTCAATTTTCGTGATACCACATCAGTGTATAATACCAGCACTGCGGCAGATATATCTACTTATCAAGAGAATTCCTATTTTGCCACACAACACGATACAGAAGCTAAGGAGCGTCGACTGCGTAAGGCACATGAAATCATAGAGCATCACTTAGCCAAGGAAGCTATCGATCCATTTAATAGTGAGCTTTGTCGCGCATTTCTCACTAAACTTGACTTCCCCGGCTCAGATGATACATGTGCCAATTATAAAATCGTACAAACACCACTGCCAAAAATTGCGAATACACGCACGCTATCCTTGCCAGATGGCGTGCAATTTAATATGGACAAGGAAGTGGGACGTGGCTCTTACGGTTCGGTGTACAAGGCTACCGATGCTAATACTGGCAACGTGGTGGCATTGAAATTTCAGAAGCCACCAAACACCTGGGAGATATACATTTGTGATCAAGTAAGCTTGCATTCGCAGTTTCTTCTGAATTATCTTTTATTAATAGGTAAACCTTTTAAATATTGCAGGTTTTGAAACGTGTCAAAACGTCAAGTATCTTACCTGGTCTAATGGATATATCCGTTGCAATAATTGCACCGAATGCAAGCATTATAGCTACAGAATTCTCACCATTCGGTTCACTTTTAGATATCAACAATAAGATACGCCAAGCTACCACAAAAGTAATGCATGAATCATTAGTTATGCACTTTTCCGCGCAAATTTGTAACATCATCCATCACCTGCATACAAATAAAATAATCCATGCCGACATAAAGCCGGATAACTTCCTATTGATGCGTATACCTAGCACCGATTATCATTATCCATCGTTACGTCTAATTGATTTTGGCTGCGCCATTGATATGACGCTATTTCCCGAACCCGAAACGACCAAATTTCGCAAGGTTATACAAACAGATGGCTTCACATGCATCGAAATGCAAGAGGGTCGGCCGTGGTCATACGAAACTGATCTATTTTGCATCGCTGGCACTGTACACGTCATGCTGCTGGGCGAATATATGCAGTTGCAAAAGCGTACTGGCGTATGGGATATAAAACAAAAGTTACCGCGTTATTTGAAGAAACATGTTTGGACTAAATTCTTCAATGACATGCTGAATATTAACAGCACAGACTTGCCGGATTTAAATGAAATGCGTCATACTTTTGATCAGGAAGCGGCACGCATGGATTCCGAATTGCAGAGCCAAATACGTACGCTATCAAATATTTTACATCGACGATAACCATGGAAATATTTGAAGAATATATGGCAAACGCCGTCAATCGTTACCACCCACTTAATTTTTATATAAACATTTCTTTAATTAATTAATTAATTATATTTTAAGTTTACTCATGCCTGTGTGCCCGGAGGGGGCAAGTATTTGAAAGCCTTTCATTTTGGTTCCGTTTAGTATCTACCATAAATAAAGTTCATTTTACGCATAAATAGTAGATTTCAATTTGTACAACATGATGTTTTTGTTAGAAACAATGTATTCATAAATAACAGCTTAAGAAGGAGGAATGTCTTCTATTAATGTGTGCGCAGCAAAGCCTTTTTGCCGTTATTAAATCAACGTATTCGACGCGCGGTCACAGGCTGTTGTCCTTACAATACATATGTATGTATGCATGAATTTTGTTCGCTTGCATAGTATAAAGTTCAAAAACTACAGAATTTTTGCATAATGAGAGCAAAATTTTAATAAGTTAAAATAAAGCGAAATTATTGATAAATATATAATGTATGTGTATAATAAATCCAGAAAATGCAAAAATTGTGTATATATCGAGATATGTATATGTAAAATATTAACTTCATGTTTATTATTTCAAATTGTAATTGGATTAAAAATATACGATTTTAAGTGATAATAAAATAAATGGACTGCGTTTTATTATTATTATTATTATTTTCATATTTGCAAAGGAGATGAAAAGCAGAAAATAAGAAGGAAAGATAAATAGACAAGTGGGTAGGATGAACACCGTGACCATTGGTCTGTTAGGTACATTGAATCTTATCAGACTAAATCATGCAACTTCGGAGCCCTCAAAGACCTGAAAAATGCGTAATTCGGCCTAAAGAATTATTGTGTTTCTTCTCTGGCTTTATGTCTCTATGCAGTTTTATACTGCTAACAATGGCTTCACCCTCTACCAACATGTGGGTTAGTGTCACACAATTGGCAAGTTTCTTCAGAGGCCAGCAGCATGTCAGCATGGCTTCGGCAAACTGTTACCTGTTGACCTGAACGGGATAAGGCCGCCGAAAGGATGACTGCCTTAGGCAAACTCCGGTGCGTAGAACATACCCCCAACGTATGCCCAGCATGTGGAGAGTCTCCGCATGACACTAAACAACTCTTCACATGCTTCCTTAAGCCGACCCAGGGAGGCTGGTCCGATCCCACTGAAACAGCACGTTTTTTGAACCTCCCGTTAGATGACCTCGGTGACTGACACTGATTTTAAACCAGTCCGTGAGCGGGGTTAACGTAGCCGCTAGAACGATAACAACATGGCTTCCACGAAGTGCACAGTACCTCAACAACACTTAACGGTCTGAACACTCAGATAGTCAATGGCCCCAACCAAAAAAGGCCCTGTGCGCGAAATATCCTGATAGCACAAGATTTGTCAAAAGCTTTTGACACTGTCAACCATTCAGTGCTACTACCGGACATTGAGGAATTCTCATTACCGCCGGGGTTGGCGACTTGGATCATCGGCTACCGGAGTAGTCGTCAATCATAGGGGAATTTTTTTCTCACCACTACTGTTTAACTTCAATATCTCGAACCTCCCTCCACCACCAGAAGGGACTTTTTTGACCTCACATGCCGATAATTGGGTGATATTGGCGTCTAACCAGGTTATTGATGATCTTTGTTCGAAAGTAAACGGCTATCTTCACGACCTACCCACTTTTTCACTGCACGTCAACCACAACTACAGCCGACCGAATCTTCGGCTATCCTTTTCATCAGCTGAACGAAGGAATACAGGCTCGAACTAGATGTGAAGGTCGATGGCGTCAAAATTCCGAACACAAACAAGCTAAAGTTGCTGGGAGTCACAATTGACAGCCTGCGCTCCTTCACTCTGCGTACGACCGCAATAGCCGCAAAATTCCAGGCCGGCAACAAAATCCTCAAAGCGCTAGCCGGTAGCACCTTTGAAAAAGACAAAAAAAATCTTGCTGGCAACCTACAAAGCGATTGGCCGGCGAGTCGTTACCTATTCTGCACCGACCTGAGCACCGGGGAAAAACAAGACACAGTTGAAGAAGCCACCGCCATTAGGACCGCTACAGAACACCTTCCCATGTCGCATCACTTACCCCACGAAACATCTATGCTACGGTAGCTTCCCAACAGGAATCTAACAGCGGCTCCGCCCCGGAATATCTAAGCCCCCTCTTTCTCTGGCCCGAACACGTCGACACGATTCATTTCCTGGACCTCCCATCGAATGACCTCGGTGACTTAGACTAACTAGCTTGTCCATAAGCGAGGTTGGAACAGCAGCTACAACAACATCATGTCCACGGTTACATAGTCTGCATAGTTTTATTAAAAGTTTCAGTTTATATTTATTGAGTGAGATATTTTCTAGAAATCTTTTAGTATTAAAGCCTCATAAAGATCCATCAAGTGGCTCAGAAAGAACTGTAAATTGAAAGAAGAGCTCGGTTGGAAATTGCTTCAGCGTTTATAAAACACCATCATGGTTGAGCCATGTAAGGTATTAAATGACAAGGTTTCATTTTGAGACCATCCTGAAGAGTCAGTAATTTAAATGTATTACCGTTGCACTTTTAAAAGGAGTTTTAAGACATGAAAGTTCTAGTAGAATGAAATTATACCGATTGAAGATAGACAGCAGAAACTAAATTTCAATTTTTTTTATTATTATTGAGAGATCCCGAGTTGAAACATAACGGGGACGGCTAACAATATTGATGACCAGGTATAGAAAAATGGTTCTTACATTTCCAAGCTTACTGCTATTTCGAAAGTGGCAGACATACATTAGAACAGACAGGGATCGGATCCATCTTCACAGCATTCCTACAACACTTACAGGCATAGTTCAGCGAATTAAGGGACAGCGACTGCGACATGCTTTCGGTGAAGGCATGGTTGGTTGATTGGTTTAAAGGGCAAGTTGAAGAACCGATCATAAGCAGCCGTATCTGAGCCGTTTAGTAGCACACAGTTCGCTCGATAAAAGGTTGGATCAATGTTGTATCACAAAAGATGTCCGATTTCATATTCTTGTAAGTACCGTTAGCACTATGCCTATACTTCCTGAAAGGGAATGACTTAAACCGATCAATCATAAACCACTTCTGGGCTCAAGTTTTGGCTCATAAATTCACATTTACTTTGGAAGGTATGTATGTATGCAATATGGCAAATACATAATCCTACTTCAACATACTCATGGATGTATGTACGTATGTGTGTTGAAAGCCTCAATAGATAACTCACGACACAACAAGCCACTCCAATTGAACAAAGAGAAAACTTAAATTGCCAACAACATATTATGGTGTTATGATTGACCCAATTTCCCATAATATGCAGTCTTCAGTTGATATTCAAGCCTTGGTGGAAAAATGCAAAAAAAAAAAAAAAGAAAACAACGAAAGAAAAACCGAGAAAAACTGAAAACTTCAAACTTCACATCGAAAGCAATCGCAAGCAATCGCAAGAGTGCCAATTGCACATTGCAACAATAATGATGCAGCAGCACCATGCAATCGCAACATTGCCAATTGGTAACTAATGCTCCTAGTGCAAAGAGTTGGTCCAAGCAAACAAAAAAAAAAAAAACAAAAATAACAATAACAAAAATCACATACTATACAATCTCTCTGCGCCGGTTTTTTCTCGATCTAGTGAAAGTAAAGTGGGACAAATGCAATTATTATTGCATCCACTAACCGAGATACCTACCTCAATGTATGTACACGTATGTGCAATGTCTAATAGTAAAACTGAGCGCTTCGTTGCTTCCACTATCGCGGATACCCGGCCGCGCCTCCGCGTCTATTATTCGAATACGAGTACATAGTACATACATACACGTATGTATAACGCGGGCCTGATTGCTGGTTGCGACTGCAAATGCAACTTTTACACAATATCTATCTATTGCAGATGCTTGTGCATGCATACATACTTATATTTGTACTTATTTCACAATAGCAAAGAGAAAATTGCATGCAACATTGAAAAATTGCAAACTTTCTTTTTTGCCGAAAATACACTTGGGGAAATTTATTTAAGTTGGATGGATTATATGTGCGATTAGGTTGAACTGGTGGACCTAGCGGATCCAAGCCGCACTGCTACACTCTTTATTGTGTCTCTAATATGAAGAATATTGATGCTCCATTCGCAAATTGATGTAATCCTTTTGACCCTTGGTCATTGTCCATTGAAGGTCATGCAGCCTTTCTGAACAAGGTAAGCACAACCTTTGCCTGCCGAATGCCGATACTCACAGCGTACATACTTCGCTGTCTCCACATATTTCCTACTTTTCCGGGAATTTGTTGTCCCCAAACCGACTTAGAACAAACGCATGCGACGCCAAAAGACTGTCCTACCACCCCGGAATCCGCCCTTTTTCCTGCTAGTAGTTAGTAAAAAACTTTGTATATTTAGCATCATAAGTATTGGTTTTCGCTATTTCGCAGCCCTAAAACTCGTTCCCAAAGTTTATTCATGTTTACTTCTTGTGTTTACTTCAGTTTACCGATTGGAACCGGTAGGTCCATTATTATGTTCTGCTCTAAAAGGAGGGTAGCCAGTTCGTCAGCTATCTCAGGTGTATTAGATCTTTTAAATCTCCATTGGGTTATTGACTCATACCAAGATATAACAGGGACACCAGTACTGGGCAGCCTCCAAATGTCTTCTCTTCTCTTGAACTTAATCTTAAAGCATGTAAATATTTTCATAAAGGATATGGGTAGTTTACCGTTAGTTCAAAGTTATTTTCATTTCTTCCCACTGGTATTTTCCAAATTATCTGGAAAAAATATCTCCAAGGAAATCTCTTCATATTAAAAGATCACGGAAATGCAAGTCTTAGTTAGAGCTTTTCATTAAGGTAACTGGTTTTCTGGTGAGTACAGTGAGTTTGTAGATTTAAGAGCTTCAAAATAGCTCTGATAAATGATAACATGGATACAGGCGGCCTATGCGTCGTCTGAGGTGCAGTCATGAACGCGCAACTGGTAGCACGCTCGATTACCACGGCCGCCTGCTATAGTTATTGTAATTTAATACTTTTCACATTCTTCCCTCTCAGAAAATTTCGTGGGGCTGTAAACTCTTATACGAAGCCGAGAACGTTACCATAAGATTCTCGATATAAGATGTATCGAAATCTGCACTGATCGACAAAATTAAGCGATTCAAATGTATAGGAGTATCTGCAGATGAGTAAGATCGATAAGAGGGATTGCATATCTCCAAATAAAAGTCGCCGATAAATAGACCTTTGACTATTTTCTGAACGACATTTTCCCAACTATCAAGATTTGAGTTTGTTTTCAGCAATCGGGTCAACTAATATAAATCAAACTCAAACCAATGAAGGAAAATGAACTCAGGCCACCAAACGGGCCCACTGTGATATCATTGAGGATCTTAATTACCCCTACCTACTAGTCAAACTAATATATGGAGTTTGCAAAACTGAGT